CAACATATCAAATTTCTTTTGTCTGTGGGTCTTGCAATTGCTTTAAAACTAATCTTAATTTTATGACGTCAGTACTGCAAAAGCTGCTATTACTTTATTAAATTATTTGGCAATAGTGACGTCATATCCGTTAAAGCATTTCTATAATTAGCCATCTGTCAGAAAATGGTATCATGCTAATAGAAGCCATCATGGTCTTATACACATAAGGGTTTATAATCCCTTTAATCTTGCACATTTCTCAGTCATTGACGCCTACTCCTTCCAGTCAGATCGATATAAAGTTGGCCCTCTTGGCATTGTACAGGAAATGAAAGGAAATGAGAGTTGGGAAATCAAGGACACCGTATCAATCACAATTAACAGTAATTTGTGTAGGATTGTTCTGATATACTTTTCTAATACAAATGAGATTTTAATAGCATACGTAAGGAGTGTAAGACATCCATTTAGATTGGAAATTGTACTGTTTTTGTTTTGACAAAACTAGTCTTGATAACTTGAAAGTTAAAAACATTTAGAACTAAATTTATAAACTGTATTTAGAAACTAACAACTGACACATCATATTATATTCTCAAAAACATATAAAATAAATAGATAAATAATAATAATGATAAATTTTATATCTTGCTATTTGAATATCTTTGATGAAAATTGTTTTCGTTGATATTTTCATTATTTTTTTTAAAATTTGGTTTTTGATCGATTACAATGCACTGGTAAAGTTTCTTTTATATTGAGGGCCTTTAATGACTTCTTGTCGAATTTCAAGCGACATCAACTCAGAATAATTTTCTATAATCTTATAATATAAAGTAAGTCGAAAAATGAATCAAGTTATTCACCATTTTTCTATTTTTTTTTCTTTCCAATCTTGAAATGATATTAGATCGAGGAGTCATTTCATTCCTGTCAACTTTTTAAAGTCTAATTTCAAATATCGAAATTAAAAACAGAATGATTCAAGGAAAAAATCGTAAAATGAGAAATTGAAATTTTATGACCGACCTTTAAAGGACTACAACACTTTTGCGATGAATGATAAGACGAAATGCATTAGACAGAAATGAAATTTTACGACTGTTTCTCGGACATAATGTTATAAGAAGAAAGTACAGAATCCATGAAAACAAGAGAAAACAACCAAAACTTTTCTCAGAATAATGATTAGTGTGCTTCTAATCATCATCATTATCATCACCATCATTTTCACCGTCGTCATCGTACTTCTGTACTCAAATAAAGTGCCTAATGATGCCAAGGTATTGAATTGTGAGGATGCAATAATTAGACCACCCCACTTTTTATTTCAGAGCTAAATATTACCTTAGAGTTTATAAAAATAATAAAGTCTGAACCGCCATTCGGGCTGCATCAAATCTATAAGCTTTTCTTTTCATTCAGAAAAACACATTCATAATTGAACCCCTTGTGGTTTGGAAGCAGACATATAGATAGAATTGAAATAAAATAAAGATAATATTTTCGAATGAAAAAATACTTAACCACATTTAATGGACCCTTTATATGCGAATAAAGTTAATAATTATTGTAAGGAGTGAATTATCTAGAAATAAGTTAAGCTACACGGGCAGAAACTGTTACGGACTGGATGGCGGAAAAGCGTCAAATCGTTCGACTGCCACAATTCGTCGAACGAATTAGAAATGAGTATGTAATGCAATTATCCTGGCAACGATTCCCTCATTGCAGAATATAAAAAACCAAACCCTCATTTCAGGTTATTACTGTACTATAATTCGGAGACCGGAGACGAATATCGCAATATGAGTCACTTTAATTCTCCCCACTAAACAGAGGAATATCATTAAATGACCTGTTACGGCGATGAAAAAGACCATAGATTTGATCAGAATCACGCCTTGTGGACGAAATATATGGTCGCATATTATGTCGCAGGTTGATAGAAACTGATGTAGAATTTGTAACTTTAAGGTTTTTTCTCGCATTTTATTCACGTTTGCCTGCGACCAAGTACATTTTAAACACCGTAAGATCACTAATGGTCGCAAATGGTTCGATGTGACTGGGTTATAACATACATATCTTGAAATATTCAACATTTATGGATATTGGTCCTTTGAGAATACCACTTGCTTTAAATGTTGTTCCATGGAGAAATAAAACATGACAAGTTTTACATCTTGTGAAAAATGTCTGAAAATATAATGACAAATTTTCTCTGGAGTCCCATACATCTACATGTATACGGAATAACACTATAATAGATGTATTTCTTCCATGTCACAACCAAATCGTTTATTACTCTCTGAAGTGGGTAATTTACGTATTTTTAGTTCAATGCCGCAGAATATCTCATCCCGTTGTACTGTTGTTTCTGTTGCTAATGGGGTACGGAGGATACCATCATTCTGGTGCTAGAGAATGGCCACTATTATACTTATACTTATTTAGCTTATTTTTTGGAAAAGTTCCAACACACATAAGTGTCACATATTAATAGACATGAGTGATATGGATTGATGTCTTAAGCATGGTTCTGAGTGCCTGACTGTCTTAGATTGAAAGACAGTCCAATTTTCTATTGTTTTAAGCTTTCGAAACATTCCAAAAGGAATTCTGAAAATATTTGGACATATATAGGATATCGCTTTTCTGCAAGCAAAAGCAACTTTTACAATAGTAGTCATGTAAATGATCGAGAGTGCCGATGAAAATTATGTCCAAAGAAACGAATACTTGTAGAGAGGTTCAGTGGTCTCAATTAGCCCAATTATGGTTCAGAAGAGTAGGACGGTAATCTGGTACTCTTTCTGGTTTAAACAATATTTATTCAAGTAATTACAGTAATGATTACACAATAGTTATATAAGAATTGGATTCGGAAAAAACAACAAGCTTATGTGAATCCGTCTCCAAAAGGTAATTACAAAAATATGGTACAGGGCGTTCAAATTGACAATGTTTAAAATACAAGAAGTGGGGTGCGAATGCGAAACTCACTGTAATGTGCTTGTATATACATGAGAGTACAGTATAGGTTGAGGTGAGAGCAATAAGTCAGTGGTTTGATTTGGTTGTCGCCATCAGGACACGGATAGCACGAGCCACAATCTTTCTGCAATAGGGTGCTGTATCAGGGTACAGGTGAGATAGACTTTCAAAATGGACGCGTCTATATAAAATTGTTTGATGATTTTCAATAGCATGATATCTGTTATAGTCTCTTAAAGGAACAGGGGAACATGCGCCATTTTTGGGACTTGATTTGGTTCTTGGTAAATAGTCTTTAGAGGTACTAGAAATCTACGAAAATAGCATAATTCCTTCAAAAGTATCTCAAACTTGGAGTTTCTCTTTAAATTTCTGTTTATGTCTTTTCTATAAATAACAGAGTCTCAAGGAAAAACAACTGGTCAAACGCAAATAATTCTGGACACACGTGGATTTTAAGCTTAACCTAAAAGTTTTCGTTTCTGAGACTAAAGAACGATTGGTCAAACGGATGGCGAACCCGTCCCTTTCAACCTCTTTCCTGTTATCTGCTTGTCTAACGTTCAAATTAACAACGAGCAGGTTGTACTGTTATAAGTTTTAATACAATAATACAAAAATAAATTCGAACATAAAGCAAATTTAATAAATACAGCAAATATAAAAATTGTACACGATAAAGTTACAAAAAGGGTATATTCAGGTTGTACACCCCAAACAAACAAAGTCTGGCTTCGGGTCTAACCAAGTCAAAAAACCTGTATTTGAGGGTGGGCTCAACAAACATGTTGTGGCAAATATGACCTACAGCATCTACAGCAAAAGATAATGAAGGTTTCCTTAAATTTTGATTATTATCAATATTTCAATTTCAAGGAAGGGTTTTATTAAATTTACCAATTCGCTTTATGATGTATACTTCGCAAAGAGCATCAATATTCTGAATTTATTCTCCGTAAATCCACTAAACCTAGTAGAGCAATTCAAATTATTATACATGACTGAATATGTCTTGCTAAAAATTATAACACACGCAACTCAATTGGCAAAATTAACAAAACCCAAAAAGAGTTGTTTTGTGTTTGTCCATTATATGTTTCAAACAGGACAATGGCACATATTAACTTGAAATATCCAACCAGTCGACACTTACATAACATACTTTAATAAGGATAATTATTTCTATTTATCAACTATTCTAGGACATTGCCTTAATATAAACCCAGAAAGTTCCTTGTCTGGTGCGAAATGTTTAATTAATACTAATGAGGTTATTTATAGTGATAAAAAACTGGATATAAACGCGGTATCAGAATAGACAAGCTTACGTTGTAAGTATAACAATCTATATTGCTCGAAAATGAACATTTAATAAAAATTTTAAAACAGGCACATCCATAAGACAGATAACAAAATGTAATCTTTGGTCATTCAAAATAAGTACATTATTAAGTGACAAAGTCATACGCTCATTGACAATACACATATTGTCTGACATAATGTTCGAATGGTGGTCTCAAATAACACCTTGTACTTGTAGAATTTTGTTTTCCCTGAATTCAATGAAATTTATATCTTCCCAGACATTTCATTTTAAACTTGTTATTATTCTAAAATAGAAAACTAGCTCAATTGAAGGCTGTATATAATAACATAATAACTCATATTAAAAAAAGATAGATATACAAAACTTCCAACATAACGAAATTGAGCAATAACAGAAAAAATAGGATGAAATATTTACTCATAAATAGGTGCATTGAGCAATAGTATTTAAGGCTATATTATCAACATGTCATCAAAAACTACATTAACGAGAAGAGATTTCAAAATTCATACAATATACAATTGTATCAATTTACATTATGGTACTTGACCACTTCTGGCACATGAAAAAGGAGTTATGTGGACTCACCAGTTTAAATCTTATATCTCTTCAGATCAGATCATAAACCGCACTGTAGAAAATTGCAACCAGAAAAGTGGAAGTGGACGAAGTCCTGCATCTACATAAACATCATCTATTCAAATAGTCTGATCATCCTTGTTATATCAGCGGACGGCTGGCGGGTAATGGACGTCTTATGATCAAAATAAACCAGTTTTCGTAAGGTGTCCAGCACAACTGGCATCTGAAACTCAAGGTGGGCACTGCCCTGAACCACAGTTTGTCTCGCTGCTACCATCTCTTTGACTTTCAGTACCAGTTCATTGAGATGTAAGGTTTTGCCATATTCCAGAAATACTCTACACAAATCTTGGACAAAATACGATCCTGATATCTCATCCCTCAGTGTAGTATAACCTGCAAGTATAAAGGGAGATAACCTTTGCTTTCGTCTACCACAGTTAATGTATAACTACGTGTATGTGGAATTTTGGAGAATTCAAATCTTACTTACATTACTTTAAACCATGCCAACAGACGAGGTGCGATATCTGGTGCGAGGTGCGGTGCTGTATTATTGATACAGAATGATTACTAGATGGCAATAGTGTTCCAATCATGTAAAATCTGAGAGTGTAAAGACAATTTAGCTGGATTGCTCCATCGACAGAGATATATAATAGGAAAAGTACTCAAACGATGATCTTAAGACTATATTTCACAGAGGCCGTCATGTGTGACTGATGAACAAGTACCAAACCTTTTTTTTTTTTTTTGGAGATAATCACCAGAGAACCAGAATATTACATACCTTCTGTACAAGAAAATAGTACAAATATATCAGCATCAATAGGTAATCTTTGAACTCTGGTATAACGGCTGGTAACGCTGTCAACTTGGTCTATTGGTCCTTCCACTCCATAATCCATGTCATCACCACGACAAGCCTAGAATGTTTCATTTAGGTTATTTTAAACAAAATATCTATAACACCTTTCGAGCTCATTGTTGAATGCTGCGCTGATACTGACTAATGGACCTTATAAAAATCTAAACTACCTTTTATAATGGTCAAGATGCATTAATGACTTGCTAACTAGTTTATAGTTTAATGGTGGATTAATCTTGAGTAAGCACATCTTGAAAGAAGCTTAATATTCTACTTACATTAAGAATAAAGATCTTTGGTTTTCCAACTAAAGTAGGGCATTTATCTCCCTTGAAAGGATCGATTATGTCACTAAGTTCCAATACCCCAGCACTTCGATAGTTTCCATCTCGCTCATCTTGTAGTTGCATGAAATTCCTCCGGTTGAAGTCTGTTCCTGATATCCCTTCCTTACCACCATGTGACATTAAAGATACCACCAAACAGTCGGCATCACTGTGATCTTCTGCTGCAACTGAAAGTTATAACAATGAGAATCAACAAGCAGGACTGAATTTTCGAAAAGCTTGTCGCGTATTCTCAAAACGATCTTAGCTATAGCTATAAATATACCGCTATAGTTAGACCAATTCTGTGGCGTATCGAGGATTAGTCCTACCTCTCCCCCTAACGCCTTCGTACTTTTCGTTGAGTTATATTCGAATATGTATGAAACGCTACAAACCTTTTTCAAATATTTTAGATATTTCACCAGTGGTCTTGTCTTCGTGTTTCTCAGCAGTAAAGTTTAAACCTCGGAGACAATCTGCTAAGGAATCTGAATCTTGGCGCGATCCCTTTCTTCTGTTCAGTCGAGCTTGTGTGTTGAAATTTACATTGTTAATAATGACAGCTTTCCCTCTTCGGGGATGGTTCATTTTATAGAGCGAGGCCACTGAAAAAAGGGAATGAAATTTGAATTGGAAATTTGAAGGTAATGACAATCCATCTTCTTAATTCGTATAACTCTTAGGTTCCCTGTAAGTTTTCGAAAAGAAAAATAAAGTGACGAATGGCTTCGGTTATCTGGATTTATTTTTAAAATTTTTTGCTTGTGTTGCAAACAGTATTTGCATGGTATTTAGGAACTGATGGCATCATATTATTGCAAAGTCGAAACTGTGTCCAGGTAACACGAACAATCCACCTTATTGAATAGTTTAAGTAATAATGAACCATGGGTTTGCTTCTATTTATTTCACCCGAAACTGCTGGTGTGTATTTTTTTAATTAGACCCCAATGTCAACTGTAATATCCCATACAATAGTATAATACGATAAATAAAACATGTAAAAACATGCACAAACAAACCAGAATGTGTTTATATTTAGATATTTTTATTTCTTGATAAGGTGATGCACTAGACAGGTTTAAAAGAGATTTTAAAAATAAAATTTACGCTTGTTTACGGGCATTTGTGTTCATCGTAGCTGCCTAGTCAAACCCAAGAATGGCATTCATCATGAAGAGAAACATGTAGGCTATAACAAAGTCTAGTTATAGGTCATTATATTTGGTAGCTAAAGCATTATAACAAGATTAATACTAGAAACAGTCAATGGACTTTACAAGGCGATAATCTCCTTGCTTGAAACTTGAAAGAATTCAAAATACATGTCGACAGAGTAGGCTAGCCTATTGTGTCCGACAGTATTCTTCGTTCCATTCAATTTAAGTCATATTCGACAAAATTATATAATAATAAATAGATACTTGCTGTTGTTTGCTTAGTAAATCCAATTTAACTTGCTTTTGTATGAGAAAAATAGTTAATCTTCGTTTATCCAACTGTTTATATCAGTGTTTTTATGGGTATTTCCTCGTTAACATTATGACAACAGCATTCTTCTTAACATACAAACTCGCACAAGACGTTTAACAACTAAATACGTTAAAAGTTCACAACATAATGCATTAAAGCCTTCATATAGCTGTGATTTTGTCGGTATAAGTTACGAATCGTTTGTAGTTTTATTGTCCGAACATACAGGTTTAGGAAGTCGCTTATATGACCTACTTAATATACCTGTTTGTTGCTATAAATAGTATAAATACTCATGAATATAAATAGGACTGACATGGATTGATGACGTTTGATATAAAATCGATATACCGCTAAATTGGAATTGAAACATTCGGGGAACATGATCTACACAGTGGCGACGACAGCATTCTGAGACTAGAGGTACCGATAGGGCTCAGACTGACTTAATTGGGGACAACTGTCGAGGTCTGCATTCAAAATGCCGCAACTCTGTGAAAGAGGAGCATAAACGAAAGCTTCCCATGGAGCGTCTTAGAGAGTTCTCCCCAATTAGATTTTAGACAAAAAGAGATAAATTTGGTGTATTCTGCCACATATTTTGAGGATAAACCACATACAAATCATATTTCAAAATTTGTTAGAATGAAGTCGAGGTACAGTTAAAAGTGCCAACTATTTTCTAGAATTACCAGATCTATATGTTTGGGGTGTTGTGAAGAATTAAGCAAGTCTAATAATTAGCTATTTGAGTAACAATATAATCATTTGCAGAATAAAAGACAGTTGGAAATCGAATAGGCTAATAGACTGTCCTTGCCTTTCCTCATTGCACACTCCATGGCTTTCATCTGTCTGCATTAGCCTAAATCAGGTTATCTTATAGGATACATTATAAGAGTCATTACAAAATCTATTGGAATTCAACAAGTCCAAATAAATAGACAAATACTAAATTTTATAAGTAATAATTTTGTCTTGGAGATTTTTATATATTACACTGAAATCAATCGACAAATAAACACTTCGTACGCACACTGAAACGTCACAGTAAACAGATTATTTCCATTTGGTTAGCCATCTTCACAATGTCAACCTATTGACTGCAAAAGCGGAATTCAGCGATTTGATTGGATTGTACGCAAGCAAATACAGCCAATCAGAGCCCTTTACAGAAAGACTCCACTTTCTTGTGTCACAAAAGGTTGTAAATGCAGAAATGCAGAAAGTCTATAATCAATGGGTCACATTGGCTATATTCGCTAGTGTACAAACCAATAAAATCGCCTCATTCCGCAATATTGCAGTCAAGTTATAAGACGGAGTCTGTTACAGCTTAACATAGTGAATATGAAGCCCTGTGGACTTTTGACACAATGTTCCCAATCTGAACACTAAATCTTAGCATTATATTCTTTATTATGATAGTGAATACCATACCAAAAAACTACAAAAACAGAACAAAAGCTCTACATCATACAATGTGACAGTTGAACTATGAATACTGTTTGACAGCTTCTTCTCAACCAACTCTGTTATTCAAACAAAACTCGCCATTGTACTAGCGGTTAAAATACCAGCTGATATAGCTTCCGTTCCGGGTATATTATATCCGCAGCGAATTCCAAACCAACAGGTAGATAACCCGTCATAAAAAATCTACAAAGAACAAAAAGTAAACTATACTAAAATTAAATATCAAACAGTATGCATATATATGCAAGTTGAACATCAATGCCATATTTTATACATAAATATCGTTTTCATGATAAATTATGTGGTCCAAGATGTTCTATATGTACTAAAAATAATAATATAAATGAAATTCAATGACACCCTTGACAATTCTTTGGTCCCTATCTTGCCTCTACCCTCTCACCATTCGTAGCATCGGACAGGTTGTAGCGCTAGGTATTGTTAATCATGTCATGATATAATACGTTTCGCGATAAAAGGGTCACACTACGATACATATCGCGATATAGGGTAATGGGGTACAGATTAACATTTCAATATATATTAAATTTGTAACTTTGTAACTTATTTAGTAATGTAGCTCATAGGAGTTTTTAACTTCCACTGGTTTTTGATAGTTTTCAACAATTTCAGTCAAAATATTTGACTAACTAACTTATCAAAACTCCTCTCTTTTTATGGAAGGTTAAGATTAGAGCTTAGTAATACATTATGACTAATTTGGAAATAATTGCACCGAATGCAAAACTATTCAATGTGTGAATCATTGAAAATAATCAGCGGAAAGGAAATAATTTACCTTAAAGGTGTTATCAGAAACGCTATTAGATTCAAGATTTTTGAGAAAAAAGAGTTTACTCAGAGAGGATAAAGGGCTTAGTGATTATGGATAACAGGCATCTTATTATGAGAGCTTAAATATTATGGACAATGGCTATAGTGCTCTGAAAGTTAAAACATTGTGATCAATTTGTATCCTACTGTGTAAGCTTAAAGACTGTAAATATCTTGTTGGAATCCTACTGTGTAAGTTTAAATATTGTAGATATCTGGCTGGAATCCTACTGTGTAAGTTTAAAGATTGTAGATATCTGGCTGGAATCCTACTGTGTAAGCTTAAAGATTGTAGATATCTGGCTCGAATTCTACTGTGTAAGCTTAAAGATTGTAGATATCTGGAATCCTACTGTGTAAGTTTAAAGATTGTAGATATCTGGCTGAAATCCTACTGTGTAAGTTTAAAGATTGTAGATATCTGGCTGGAATCCTACTGTGTAAGTTTAAAGATTGTAGATATCTGGCTGGAATCCTACTGTGTAAGATTAAAGATTGTAGATATCTGGCTGGAATTCTACTGTGTAAGTTTAAAGATTGTAGATATCTGGAATCCTACTGTGTAAGTTTAAAGATTGTAGATATCTGGCTGGAATCCTACTGTGTAAACTTAAAGATTGTAGATATCTGGCTGGAATCCTACTGTGTAAGTTTAAAGATTGTAGATATCTGGCTGGAATCCTACTGTGTAAGCTTAAAGATTGTAGATATCTGGCTGGAATCCTACTGTGTAAGTTTAAAGATTGTAGATATCTGGCTGGAATCCTACTGTGTAAGTTTAAAGATTGTAGATATCTGGCTGGAATCCTACTGTGTAAGTTTGAAGATTGTAAATATCTGGAATTCTACTGTGTAAACTTAAAGATTGGAGATATCTGGCTCGAATCCTACTGTGTAAGCTTAAAGATTGTAGATATCTGGCTCGAATCCTACTGTGTAAGCTTAAAGATTGTAGATATCTGGCTGGAATCCTACTGTGTAAGTTTAAAGATTGTAGATATCTGGCTGGAATCCTACTGTGTAAGTTTAAAGATTGTAGATATCTGGCTCGAATTCTACTGTGTAAGCTTAAAGATTGTAGATATCTGGCTGGAATCCTACTGTGTAAGTTTAAATATTGTAGATATCTGGCTGGAATCCTACTGTGTAAGCTTAAAGATTGTAGATATCTGGCTCGAATTCTACTGTGTAAGCTTAAAGATTGTAGATATCTGGAATTCTACTGTGTAAGCTTAAAGATTGTAGATATCTGGCTGGAATCCTACTGTGTAAGCTTAAAGATTGTAGATATCTGGCTGGAATCCTACTGTGTAAGTTTAAATATTGTAGATATCTGGAATTCTACTGTGTAAGCTTAAAGATTGTAGATATCTGGTTGGAATTCTACTGTGTAAACTTAAAGATTGTAGATATCTGGAATCCTACTGTGTAAGTTTAAAGATTGTAGATATCTGGAATCCTACTGTGTAAGTTTAAAGATTGTAGATATCTGGCTGGAATTCTACTGTGTAAGTTTAAAGATTGTAGTGCTATCGTAAATTTGGCCTCAATATTTAAGTGAAGAAACAAGATTTTGTTTAGCTATGTAATTTGAGTCTCAAATCCATGTGTGTCCAGAATTTTTCGCGTATTGGCGTTTGAAATTTAAAATGACGACTCTTCTTTTCTTGGTACTCCGCCATATGTAGAGAGAACATATTATATGGAAATAGAAAGCTAAATTTCTATTTTGAGACGAATATTTGGGGAATTTTAAGAGATTTTCGTGCTGTTCGAGTAATTCTGAAGACTATTTACATATATTCACGAACAATCATTGCTCTTAATTCAACACGCTTTAGCTTATTTGGTCGTCAGCCATATTATTCAATGTTTAGGCTACGACAAAATATAAGTCTGGTGATTTAAATAAATAAGGAAGGTAACTCATACATAATGATGAATACTGTAAGACTGTTGGTTCTTATCCTATTGTTTGTGTTAAACTCTATGTGTATTGAGAAAAATGCATGTAGTTTAAAATTATGTAAATGTATACCGATTAACACAGTGGAATGTAGTAGAAGGAATTTAAATTATATACCTGTACTTCCCAGTCGAACCGACAAGTTATATTTTGATGATAATCATCTCCCTTTGATCAATGAACACACCTTTTCCAATATAACACACCTGAAATTGGAGGTGTTAACATTTCTAAAGTGTCACATCACAACTATTACTACAAACACTTTTAAATTTATAAAACATTTAAAACAATTACGACTCTCCTCCAATCCATTGACGACAGATTCTTTGATAAATTTATTTTCTGATTTGAAAAATAGATCCCTTCATTTATTAACCTTAGAACATATGCGGTTAGAATTTTTACCCGAAGAATTATTTAAAAATAATTTTACATTGTTAAATCTAAAAATGACTTTCAATCGTCTTAAAACATTAAATTTCACAGAATTTAAATCACTTGGTCTAAGAGTTTTAAAAGTTGAATATAATTCAAGAGACAATTGTAATGGATAAAATGGACAATTTGCGGATTTTATCACTAATGACAAATAATATCAAATCACTTCCGGATTTTTGTCATGATAAATCTTATTTCCCTTCATTGACCTATTTAAATATAGGGACTAATAATATCTGTAAATATATTCCTCAATATATGAACTGTTTAAAAAAACTTTCTGGATTTACACTCGATCGCAACTGTATATCATTGATAAAATCTAGATCGTTTCAAGAGTTATCTTCTCTTACAGACCTTAGTCTGTCATATCAGAGAAAGTCTAAATCAACCTTAAAACTTGAAAAATATTCTTTTAATAATTCAAATATTGCAAACTTAACATTATTTGACAATCGTATGAATATAAACCATATTGATAGATTAGCGTTCAGTGGATGTCATGGAATTACTTCTTTAATATTTTCGGATAATTATTTGAGCGACCCCGAAAGATTGGACCAAATTTTATCAGAGCTTACCTCCTTGCAATATTTAGATCTCTCAAAAAACAGGTTAATAGAAATACCCAAATCCATCCAAAACTTCACCGAACTTCGATACCTTACTTTATTTAAAAACAAAATATCAAACTGGGAAGAAAGTTTTTGGGATGGAAACTGGAGTTTAACTCATTTAGATCTTGGTAAGAATTCATTAAAAACAATCTCAAAAGAGATGTTGCCTATGAAATTTAGATCACAGTTAAGAACAATATCACTCTATGATAATCCAGTAGATTGTATCTGTGACAATGTTTGGTTGATTGAGTGGATTAAAAGAGATAATACTAAATTTGAATATTATCCACATGGATATAACTGTTTAAATATGACAGAGCGAATTTGTTTAAGAAACAGTCCTTTATATACGTCAATAACTGGAGTTTGTTGTGTTATACTTCTTTTATCTATCCTAGTATCTATTGTTTATAAATATAGATGGTTTATCAAATATCAGATATATATCTGGCGACATCAACCCAAACTCTTAAACAATATGGCAGAACGACAAAAACTCTATGACGTGTTTGTTTCATACTCCGCTGAGGACGATTGGGTCTTGGATAATCTAGTACCACAGTTAGAGGGAAATGAGGGCATGAAACTCTGTATACATGAAAGAGATTTTCAGCCTGGCAGATTGATTATAGATAATATTGTGGAATCGATTGAAAATAGTCGTCGTGTTTTAATTATATTAAGTAATAATTTTGCTCGAAGTGAATGGTGTCAATTTGAAATGACTTTAGCTCAGAAACATGTTTTACATCAAGCTATGGAACCTTTATGTGTTGTTTTATTAGAAGATATAGACAGTGAAAATATGAGCAATTCACTTCATGCTTTATTAAAGACAACTACTTATATAACTTGGTATAATGATGCAGAAAATATTCACTTGTTTTGGGACCGACTGAAGAATTCCCTTATCTGAATATATTCGTTATAGACTAATGTAAAATAATTATGAAAATAAAAAGGGAATTGATATTAATTAAATTCGGATGTTTTAAGTCATTCAAAATAGCACTAAAAAGTGTATATAGATACCTATACTATGCCATTGCGGTCAGATTGATGTTAGATAGTAATTCCCACATTATACAGAAAAGCAGGACGTAAAACTCCATTCATTTCATATGTAAATAAAAATCAGATTTTCTTTTTTTGAATCCACTTGTATATATACCAGTTTAGTTTGCTATTTGCTATCACAAACAAAATATTAGAAATATTGATATTTATGAATATACATAACCTTAATTGTTTTGTTTTGTTTTTTGTTTTGTACTTAGCATTTATCGATTTTTTTTTGTATCGTAGCATTTTGAATTTTGATTAAAATTAGATTTTAAAACCGTGTCTATGTTTTCTATGTGTCAAAATGCTGTGGATGTTATTCACGACTTATCATCCAAATTGCGAAAGAAGAAGGAAAAAATCATTTTATTTTTTGGTCACTGCCTTATCCGTTTTCATGTCGAAGAATAAAGCCTTACTAAATGACTAAAATTATAATTGTTCAATAAATTTACATTATCCCCTAGAACTTTCAGAATCTCCCCTCTGCTTTAACTACTTGTCACACTACCATAGCGATCACCAGTTGCGTATAGTAGCAAATCAGAATGGTGGTAGTTAGTTTTGAACTCATGACAAGTTTCATAATTGGATTGGCTCTGGTTTTTATTGAGTGTGTGTTTGCGTTTACATGTAATCGCAGCTTAATTCGCAACCATACATGGCTGGTAATCGCTATGAAGTGAGGGCACCTCTATGCAGTGGTTAAGTATTGTTTGGCATTGTTCACACTTAACACTCACCGACGGCAAGTTTTGGGCCGAGTTTGCACAGTGTTAACGCATGGTTCAGGCAAGTGACACGAACGTGATAGGAAAGTTTATACGTCTCGACATTTTGAAAATTTTAAAATCCCTTCTGCCAGGTTATATTTCATTAATTAGGCATACCATTAGTAAGGCGTCCTAATCGTTAGACATGTTAAATTAAACAAAGAGAGAAAATACCTAATATCTTTATTAGATTTAGGTTCTGAATAGGGGTTCCGAAATAAAAAACTTACTTATACACAATCATGTAATCATGTTATAATGTAATAATAAATTTTATAGGTTTGAGATACGCAACAAGAACGCGTGAGATCGCAGACAAATGCGGAGTGAGTTTTGAATCCCTAGTTGCGTGGAATTTTCGAATATCTGTCACGTGATAAAAACGGATCCAGTTTTTCTCCAGTGCTGATTTGCATGCGGTTTGTTAAGAACTAACGTTAAGTTGCATTAATTGTTGCGTGCGTAGCGTTCCTGTTTCGTTTAAATTGGTCACAGGCGTTCGCAAAAAATTGAACTTGCGTGATCACATGCGTGGTACTATACGACAAACTAGCTTAGCTGAACAATTCCCTTTCCAAAGACCAAGTTAAGATTGACCTCCGAAAATGGCGAACCACGTGTTTTAAGACGAGTGAGTATACTATAATCTTGGTTTCATGAGATTACGTTATCTTGAATCATAAAATGTATGTTTAAGTATACCATTTTTCTTAAAAAATTTTAAGATATAGGTTAGCTGCTGAACAGTGTTTATTTAGAGTGCGTTATGAGATTTATTCAACCATGGCGTCACATCCATGACTCGTTTATTAACAAAGCATCTAAGCACTTGATATTATGATTTTACTTTACCAGTTGATAACAAATTTAATTGCATAGTGAATTTGGTGGAATTTGTTGGAATATAATCGCTGTACGTTTCCATTGATATGGAGTCTAAAAATAGCTCAGAAGCAGACGAGAACGGTGTCCAAGATGGCGTCAAAGTTTATAAAAGACGCTGGCTAATGTTAGGATTATTTAGTGTCTATTCGTTTATCAACGGATATCAATGGATACATTTAAGCATCATAGGAAATATAATAGAGAGGTATTATAATGAAAGTTTACCGTCTGATGAATTCCATCGTCAGACTACAATTGACTGGTTAGCTACATCTTATCTAGCTATTTATGTTCCTTTGATAATACCTGGAATATGGTTATTAAATAAATATGGTTTAAAAGTGAATATATTACTCGGAGCTGTTATTAATGCTCTTGGAGCCTGGATTAAATGTATTGGACTGGCTCCCGACAGATTTTATCTTGTTATGATTGGACAATGGTTCTGTGCTATTTGTGATGCTTTCGTTGTCAGTTTTCCACCATTTTTATCTGCTGTATGGTTTGGACCAAATGAACTATCCACTGCCACTGCTATCGGGGTTTTTGGAAACCAGGTAATTGTTTTGTTATGTTATATATTTGTAAGAATATACCTTATTATTTTATACCCCATTCATTCGATATTCATATTCGCTTGAAAGATTGTATTTATGAGTAAATAAAGGTGGTAGTAAACATCTAACATCGATCACGTGATGAGAAGCCCAGGACTTCTGGCCCCACAGGTTCCTCGGACTTAATATGCAGATGGAATATCGGCTGGTTTAAGGCCAGACGAAAACAAGGCGAGTCGGTAATACAATTTTCAAACACGAATAATTATAGACACACATGGCTAGGAAGGTTAACATTTCGACGAAAGGTTGTGCAATATATTACTGATTAGTTTTTGCTGAGCGGTTGCCCTTAAAATGTTGAATCATGGTCTTTAGAGACAAGGGTAATGAAAAAGATCAAGTACATGTTGCCAAATTCCAAAGAAGAAAATACAAATAAAACCTCTTGACAAAAACTTTTATCTTTTTATCAAAAGGAGTACCATATGTACCATTAAGTAATAAAATGATCATGATACCGTATTGTATTCGACTCTTCACAGAGTTGACCTTGTCGTTATCGTGACCGTAATAATTGTCTAGGTTTTCTCTTACGTTTTATTGTGTGCTCCATTTCTTTTTAGGTGAAAATAAATTTGTGTTATTTTGAGCAAGATTTGAATTAGAAATCGCGAAGAAAAATATCAAGAATAAAAGCAAGAAAAGAAATATTTATTTGTTTCGTTTCATTTTTAAAATAATTGAATAATAAATAAGGTGCTGTTGGGCGGGAAGCTTTTGAAACCCACCCCTCGATTTACCTTTGGATTTTATGGGCAATACCCAAACGTTCAAAACGCAATACCACACGTTTCTTATATTATTACAATAGTGGATGACAAAATGCGATATTGTAACGGTGTTTAAAGGAACAACATTGTGAGTGGATAGCAGCAGTACTTTTAGATTCCTGGATTCTTATGGACAAATTCCAATAACAAATGGTACATTATTAAATATGAATATGAATCATTTTTTATCGTTTATTCAGTTAGGAATTGCTGTAGGATTTCTACTGCCACCAGTAATGGTACCTAATTCACCAGATATAGCTGAAGTAAGACAGGGACTAGAGATCATGTACTATAGTTGTGCTGCTTGTAGTACACTAATTGTTCTACTGATTATTATCTGTAAGTTGTACTGCGTTATTTCATGTGTGTAGTAAGTAATTGTGGGCAATTTGGTTGTTCTCGTCCAGAATACAAGTTAACTGTGTAGAATATGTAATATCAGTGAAATCGAAGCCGACAAACCTAGGTTGAACATTTTCTGCATCGCTAATGTCACGTCAATATCTGATGTACAATCTTTTTTAATAATTTTAATTCAATTGCTAGGTCTAGAATCTATTCCTTCGTATGCCTCGAATCTATGATTCGAATCGATATCCGTAAGTCTAGAATCTATTCCTTGACAGGTCGAGAATCTATCCCTTGGTAGGTCTTTAATCCATTCCTTGGTAGGTCTATAATCCATTCCTTGGTAGGTGTAGAATCCATTCCTAGGTAGATCTAAAATCTATTTCTTGACAGGTCGAGAATCTATCCCTTGGTAGGTCTTTAATTCATTCCTTGGTAGGTCTATAATCCATTCCTTGGTAGGTGTAGAATCCATTCCTAGGTAGATCTAAAATCTATTTCTTGATAGGTCTAGAATCTATTCCATGATAGGTCTAGAATCCGTTCCTTGGTAGGTCTAGAATCTATTCCTTGATAGGTCTAAAATCTAGTCCATAGTAGGCCTAGAATCCATTCCTATGTAGGTCTAGAATCTATTTCTTGATAGGCCTATAATCTATTCCATGATAGGTCTAGAATCCATTCCTTGGTAGGTGTAAAATTCATTCCTTGGTAGGTCTATAATCTATTTCTTGATAGGTCTAGAATCTAGTCCATGGGTTTAGAATCCATTCCTTGGTATGTCTAGGATCTATTCCACGGTAGGTTTAGATTCTATTTATGATAGGTCTATAATCCATTCCATGGTAGGTGTAGAATCCATTCCTTGGTAGGTCTAGGATCTATTCCACGGTAGGTTTAGATTCTATTTCTTGGTAGGTTTAGATTCTGTTTCTTGGTAGGTCTATAATCCATTTCATGGTAGGTCTACAATCCATTCCTTGGCGGGTCTGCAATAAATTCCTTAGTAGATCAAGAATATATTCCTAGAATCTTAACATTAAAATATAATTGCATGGTATCAAATGGTTTAAGATTTGTACGTGCTTCATCGTTTTTTAGTTTTTAAGAAAGAACCATCCATTCCACCAAGCCATGCACAACTTTATCTAAAAGAGAAAACTGAAGATTATCATTATGGACGATCATTAAAGGAATTATTCAAGCAGCCGTCCTTCGATCTATTGGCTATTAGTTACGGTAAGTAACCTATTCAATAATGATTATGTGACTAAAAGCAAAAATAACATCATCTACAAAGTCATCAATGATAAAATATCATCATGAAATCATTAATGTAAACATCACCGTGAGCAGAATCAACACAATGTCAAGATATTACGAACTTCGTCTTATATTTTGACTGAAATTGTCACCTTTCTTGTATCACAGAAGTCTGCAAAAACCGAGCCCATATGTTTACAGTCTACAGGGTGTAAGACAAAAATCGTAATCTTGACATTGTAAGGATGCGTGAGTAGCAGAAGTATCATTATAATCATCACATTGTAATCTGAATTCATTATTCAATGGTAATAAAAAAAACAACATAATACATAACATAAATAACTATCACTGAATCATCATCGTCAGGTGATATCATCACCATCATCATTCGTGTCAACGTGCTCTAAACTTAAAAGAATTCTTCCCCTTGAACTGAACTTAAACTAATAATTGTAATTTTATTTCCATTTTAAGAGTTTGTATTCCTTCAAAAAACTAAGTCAATATCTCAGTCATGTTTATTTCAGGCATAATTACAGGTGTATATTATGCTATATCTACTTTATTGAATTATATAGTTCTAGATTACTATCCGGTAAGCCTTATTCTGTTTTTCATTTCTACATTTCCCATTTTTGTATTTCTGTTGTGTCAATTGTACCACCTTCTGCACAAAACAAACACCATTCCTGCCATTCAATGCAAATATTATAGATAATAGTTAAACCGCTTCATGTATATGTGTTATCCAATGATGCCTATTCATTTCATCTAATACTTTATCTGATCACCAGGGAGAAGAGGTGAATGCTGGAAGAATTGGTCTTGTCATTGTCCTAGCTGGAATTGTAGCTTCCATTATGGCAGGTATCTGGTTGGATAAAACCAAAACATACAAGTAAGTTGCTTCAATATATTAAATTAAATCTATTATATATGCACTGTGAAACATCCATGACCATCCAATGTAGGAACTACCTAATCGTAAACAATTACTGTACCACCGTAATATGATAAGATGATTCGTCTATTTGTACACAAGTATTCATCTATTTACAGGGCTACAGTAATGTTCAAATATTTATAGGGCTACACTAGTGTTCGTCTATTTGTAAGGCTACACTAGTGTTCATCTATTTACAAGGCTACAGTAATGTTCATCTATTTACAGGGCTACAGTAGTGTTCATCTATTTACAGGACTACACTAGTGTTCATCTTATTACAGGGCTACAGTAATGTTCATCTATTTACAGGACTACAGTACTGTTCATCTATTTACAGGGCTACAGTAATGTTCATCTATTTACAGGACTACACTAGTGTTCATCTATTTACAGGACTACAGTAATGTTCATCTATTTATTAGGCTACAGTAATGTTCATCTTATTACAGGACTACACTAGTGTTCATCTTATTACAGGGCTACAGTAGTGTTCATCTTATTACAGGACTACAGTACTGTTCATCTTATTACAGGACTACAGTAATGTTCATCTTATTACAGGACTACAGTATTGTTCAACTATTTATTAGGCTACACTAGTGTTCATCTTATTACAGGGCTACACTAGTGTTCATCTTATTACAGGGCTACAGTAATGTTCATCTATTTACAGGACTACACTAGTGTTCATCTATTTACAGGACTACACTAGTGTTCATCTTATTACAGGGCTACAGTAATGTTCATCTATTTACAGGACTACACTAGTGTTCATCTATTTACAGGACTACACTAGTGTTCATCTTATTACAGGGCTACAGTAATGTTCATCTATTTACAGGACTACACTAGTGTTCATCTATTTACAGGACTACACTAGTGTTCATCTTATTACAGGGCTACAGTAATGTTCATCTATTTACAGGACTACAGTACTGTTCAACTATTTATTAGGCTACACTAGTGTTCATCTTATTACAGGACTACACTAGTGTTCATCTTATTACAGGGCTACAGTAGTGTTCATCTTATTACAGGGCTACAGTAGTGTTCATCTATTTACAGGACTACACTAGTGTTCATCTTATTACAGGGCTACAGTAATGTTCATCTATTTACAGGACTACACTAGTGTTCAACTATTTATTAGGCTACACTAGTGTTCATCTTATTACAGGGCTACAGTAATGTTCATCTATTTACAGGACTACACTAGTGTTCATCTTATTACAGGGCTACACTAGTGTTCATCTTATTACAGGGCTACAGTAATGTTCATCTATTTACAGGGCTACACTAGTGTTCATCTTATTACAGGACTACACTAGTGTTCATCTTATTACAGGGCTACAGTAATGTTCATCTTATTACAGGACTACAGTATTGTTCAACTATTTATTAGGCTACACTAGTGTTCATCTTATTACAGGACTACACTAGTGTTCAACTATTTATTAGGCTACACTAGTGTTCATCTTATTACAGGGCTACAGTAGTGTTCAACTATTTATTAGGCTACAGTAATGTTCATCTATTTACAGGACTACAGTATTGTTCATCTTATTACAGGACTACAGTATTGTTCATCTTATTACAGGGCTACAGTAATGTTCATCTTATTACAGGACTACACTAGTGTTCATCTTATTACAGGGCTACAGTAATGTTCATCTTATTACAGGACTACACTATTGTTCATCTTATTATAGGCTACACTATTGTTCATCTTATTACAGGACTACAGTATTGTTCATCTTATTACAGGACTACAGTATTGTTCATCTTATTACAGGACTACAGTATTGTTCAACTATTTATTAGGCTACACTAGTGTTCATCTTATTACAGGGCTACACTAGTGTTCATCTTATTACAGGACTACAGTAGTGTTCATCTTATTACAGGACTACAGTAATGTTCATCTTATTACAGGACTACAGTATTGTTCAACTATTTATTAGGCTACACTAGTTTTCATCTATGTATACAGGGCTACAATAATGTTCATCTTTATACGGGGCTGCAGTAATGACCAACTATTTATACGGCTAAACTAGTGTTAATCTATCTACAGGGCTACTAAGGTGTTCATCAATTTATAGGACTTGTTGTGTTCAGCTATTTAAAGGGCTACAGTAGTGTTCATATATTTGAGAGTCTATACACGCAACATCAATATTTATCATTTTACAAGGTTAAACTATTTCAATGTTGATTATTTTCCAGGGGTACATCGGTGTTTATTTACGTATCTACGGTTATTGGTATGTTTATTTTTACCTATACGATGGACCACACTAAGATTTGGGTAGTGTTTATTACTGCTGGTATTCTGGGGTACGATTATGTTTATTATAAACGTATTACAACCTGGTTATGTCCAGAATCCGAAAGTCTATATTCCTTATACATAAGCAATTGCGTTTTTCATTATAATTGTAAAGAAAGTCCAACTTAATTTTTATGGCTGTTCCTGATTGACATCTCACTGCCTGCACATTCTAAATCTCCCAAATGGACAGTGATGCGTTGACAAGAACACTTGCCAGATTAATTGTTCAATTATGAGCAGATGAGCAGGAATTAGAACACCATTGAATATTATTTACATGAGGTTTTTCAATAGTAGTATACAGATAGTACATATTGAACCACATAAATTACCGTGAAAAAAAAATTCATGTATAACATATGCCATTGATTTTCAACGTACATACCATTCGATGTTGCATTTTGATATACAGTTTGTTTTTGGTTCTTTGCAGATTTTTTATGACGGGTTATCTTCCTGTTGGTTATGAATTCGCTGCGGAGATAACATACCCGGAACCGGAAGCTACATCAGCTGGTATTTTAACTGCAAGTGCGATGGTGAGTTGTTGTAATGGAACCAATATGATTTCAATGATGCCGACCTCATAGATTTAACAACATTCTATTGTGTTATTTCCCCATGAATGTTAAATGTGTTACTATGTCAATAAAATAAAAAAATGGGCATGGTTGAATAGTATATCAAATTCCGTCCAAAGGTAGGTAAAGAGATAACTAGCAAGCTACTTCATCTGGAATCTTAACAACAGAATGTAGGGCTTATTTATTTCAAGAGTAGTTTAGCTGTCAAACAGTATTCATAGTTCAACTGTCAAATTGTATGATATAGAGCTATTGTTCTGTTTTTGTAGTTTTTTGGTATGGTATTCACTATCATAATAAGGAATATAATGCTAAGATTTAGTGTTCAGATTGGGAACATTGTGATGGGATCTATACTGGTATTAGGTGCTATCATGACCAGTAAGTATCAATATCAAAAGTCTGCTAGCTCTCTATCTACAGGAATTCAGTGGCGGAGCCAAAGGAGGGGGCGGGAAGACGCCTTCAATCACAGACAACAAAGTGCCCATTGAATAATAGCGATTATGTTTGTTAAAAATCTCTGTAAACGAAAAATAAGGAAAAAAATGTGATTTGACCAAATGAAAGTTTTTAAAAATATTGATAGAAAATGTTTTGATTCCCGAATTTGTGCACGACCTTTGGCGCAATTTTAGTTTCGATTTTTTTGTCTTTTCTGTCCCAATTCGGACAATTCGGGAATCCGGAATTTTACACTCACCGTTTCAAGAGTAATGTGTATCATCTTTACAATGTCAAGCTATTACGAATTTTCGTCTTATACCTTGTCACCTTTCTTGTATCATGGAAGTTTGTAAATGAAAGAATTTGATTTGATGGTACGCTTGAGAATACAGATAATCAAAGGTCTCGACAGAGTCTGCGAACACAAAGCCATAATGTTTACAGCCTTTTGTAAAAGGCCCTGATTAGAAGTATTCGCTTACGTACACTCCAATCAAATTGCTGCATTCCGCGATACAAGTATTTGCAGTCAATAGTTTGACATTGTGAAGGTGGTTAACCAATGGAAATAATCTGTTTACTGTAACATTTCAGTTTGTGTACGAGGTGTTTATTTGAGACAACGAGCAGAACTTACAGTGAGTTGTAGTTATATTGTTATTTGTATCCAATAAGTGTCTATCTTCATAATCGCCACATTATATCTTCAGCTCATTCAGCACGACAATCAAATACATTTAGAAATGGCACCAAAATCATAAATCCAGATTAAAAGACAAACGTTATTTTTACTTGTTATTTTATGTTAAAAGTATTATGGTTACATTACATGTAGTTATTTGTTCTTATTATAATGTATATTAATCCTGTAAATGTAAATTTTCTCTATTGATATTCTTACAGGAAGTTAAAGATGTAGTGATCGGTGAAAACGAACCATACCAGGAAATAAATAGTGAAAAGGCATTAATAGGACAAAACTTAATTCAGAAATAAATACTCAATATAAAATACTTGAAGGCTTTTAGTTTCCTTTATTGTACACTGTTTGACTGCTTGCACACTGCTGCTCCTTTATTAACCCAAGCTGAAGCAATAGAGGAGGATCTAAATGTTGCGTTTACATGGGCTTCATTTTGGCATGACCAAATTGATGTTCAGTGAAATGTAATTTAGTAAGAACAGTCTAAACATTTCATGAACATAATTTCAATGGTAGAAATGTAGTTATTCAGATTCACAAAAAATAACATGAAAATCACCTCAAATTAAAAACATCAGGATCTGCCTTTAAAGGGACGGAAGTGTGATTATAGGGGGTTGATTTTAGCCTTGAATATATGTGAATAGTCTTCAGAAGTACTTAAAAAGGAACGAAAATCGCATAATTCCTTTAAAAATACTTTTAAAAAAATTTTCTCACTGTTTCTATAATATGTCTGTTCAATATATCACAGAGTATCTTAAATTGACGAGTCATCATTTTACTAATTAAACGCAGATAATTCTGGACACATGTATTTGAAGACTCAAATTTTGACAGTGAGCTGTGAATACTGGTTGGCTTCAGCTTCTCAGGCTAAATCATGATTGGTATACTTAACTTAAGGTTTTATTGTGCCGATCAGCTTCTGAATTTATCAACACGTGTCCCCAAATCTTCAGATATCAAACATGAAACAAGCAACGCCATGCAGGGTACAAATTGTGCCAGGACAGCGGCATTAGCCTGCTCTTTTCAGATTTCCAACTGTCGAGGGATCCGTTACGTGCACAGCCTGCAGGAACTCGTAAAATAGCCCACAGACAATTCCTTACGGTGTCGTAAAAATAGCCACTATAAAACACAAAAAATTTTTGTAAGTCCTTTTTGTATATCTAAATGGATGTTCCTGGTATACCCACTTTTTGCAATAGTTTCATTTCCATGTCATTTCTCCTGTCCCTTTGTGCTTCATTTGAAAGCGATAGCGGCCACCGTCTTGACCCAATTGCGTTTTCATGGTTTCATATATTGGTGAGAATGTCTGTGTTTCCATGAGAATTTCTGTGTTTCGATGAACAGCTTTTGAGTTATTGCCCATAACCTGACCAAAATACGTCAGAATTGGCTTGTGAATGATTACACATTCTGATAAAATATTCAGTACACATTCGGCATTATAAGATCGACCACGTTATAGATGCACTCAATGTTTCAATTTACAACGTATTGCCCCTTGACATGTTGAGATACGTATACATGAATCAGATTGAACGATAACAGTAGTTTGAATATCGATACTATTATACCTGTTAGTTGTTTACGTTTGTCTGATATGGCAGCAGAGAACACCAATTGTAAGGTAAGTTTTTTTTAATGACAAGATTATTTCGGATAGTCATTTCATCTGATGACGACACGTGAAATTTGTGTTAATATTTTCTGAATATTTTTAAAAGTGTGCTTATTTCATAATATTTCCTTTTGTTTGTTATATGTATTTCTAATTGTCGTTCAAGTCTTATAATCTTGAAAGATAAAGAGGTTTGGCCAAAGCAAACGCATCCTCATAAACTAAAGTTGGTAGACCCTGTCCTTACGGAAATTGGATGATTTTTTCTAAAGCAATACGTGTTTCGCATGTAAACATCATCAGGAAAGCGGGTTTTCAAATAAAATGTGTTCTAAGATAAGATTATTTCTAGCAGTATTTAAAAGGTCCGCGTTGAATCTCAGGAAATTTTTTTCAAAATTAATTATAGTTATCCTTGTCATTGACTGACAATTTCATATTCCAAAAGACATTTTATTATATCGATGTCGTCCAGTTTTTTCACATAATAACTACCTAAATGATCCTTGGAAGTCTATAGTCTTACAGTTTTTTTTGCTATCTACAGTTAGTCCGCTAACTTTTAAGTGCTGATTTTTCTTCAATATTTAAACACTTTAGGATTTTTCAATCTAATTTTCAAACTAAGGGGACTGACATGGGAAAAGCCTCACATCTTTCAGATTTGACAATCATCCAAGATCATGTGTGCTACAGGCTGTGCATGTCAGTCAGAGATCCCTCGACTGTTGGAAATCGAAAACGAATAGGCTAAATAAATACAAAATTTAACTGTTACACCTGTCACTCTGGAGGAATGGGATATCCTTTTATCCGTTATACCCATTGCCTTTGTGTTATAGAGTCATAACAAAACAAACCTAGATTAAAACCATTGATATAAACTGAAACGAAAACAGGAATTCATTAAAACTCATAGACGATTAAAGTTGTTCAGCCATGTTAGAGTTAAACGAAACGTTTTGTGTTATTTTATCTTGCTGATCAGGTAACAGTTGAACAGTTATTGCTATTAGAAAAGCATTGTGTTAAATTGAATACCTACCAATGAATTTACAAATAACTTCATATTTATTTAATGTCAAGAAAATCATTTATACACTAAGAACGTTTAGCTAGTGTTTTATAACATCTTGTGGTGTTTAATTGTGGTTTATTGGTACATACAAGCTGCCGCTGGACTACAACTACAATAGTTCAAAAACAAATCAACGGATTCAATAAACTCTAGCAACGGGGAACTAGCAATTATAATATTCAACAACAATCTGCCTACTGGTATTATTACCAACCAGCAGACATTATTATCTTTATAATTTTATATTCAGTTATATCTTTAATAATTAATTTCATTTTTCAGCTAGAAGCTGAACATGCAACTGATGGAACTAATATTCACAATGGCGTCAGAGTCTTCAAAAGGCGATGGTGCATGCTCGCATTGTATTGTATCTATTCGTTTATCAACGCCTATGAATGGATACATTTAAACATCATAGGAAATATGATAGAGAGGTATTATAATGAAAGTTTACCGTCTGATGAATTCCATCGTCAGACTACAATTGACTGGTTAGCTACATCTTATCTAGCTATTTATGTTCCTTTGATAATACCTGGTATATGGTTATTAAATAAATATGGTTTAAAAGTGAATATATTACTCGGAGCTGTTATCAATGCTCTTGGAGCCTGGATTAAATGTATTGGACTGGCTCCCGAGAGATTTTATCTTGTCATGATTGGACAATGGTTCTGTGCTATTTGTAATGCTTTTGTTGTCAGTTTACCGCCATTTTTATCTGCTGTATGGTTTGGACCAAATGAACTATCCACCGCCACTGCTATTGGGGTTTTTGGCAATCTGGTAATTATAAGATATTGTCTTTGCATTACAACATCCTGAATTCATGTATACAACTGATAAATCTTTTGCTATCACAAATGAGCCAGACTTGAGGTAGTAAGCAACAACTCGTCAAGGTTCCAACTATAGCCCTGGATTCTATGTGTCTTTGTAGATCCATATGAACAAGCCATTCTCAGACTCTTAATGAGAAGTATTTGGTTTTGATATTTAAATGATATTTTGTAAACAATGTGGTTAGGTCGGGCAATAGCACGATTTGCACTGAGCATGCATTAACAATACCCATATCATACCTGATTTCTTATCTATTTATTCAGGCTGGAATTGCTGTAGGATTTCTACTGCCACCAGTAATGGTACCTAATTCACCAGATATAACTGAAGTAAGACAGGGACTAGAGATCATGTACTATAGTTGTGCTGCTTGTAGTACACTAATTGTTCTATTGATTATTATCTGTAAGTTAGTTGTATTGTATCTACGTATAAATAATTCAGAAAAAGGCTTAAAAAGGGAAGATACCTTTTCATAAAAGCGAATTTACTGCTTTGAAAATTGTAAAATAGATCTTAAATGATTATTTAAAAATTCTAAATAAGCGATATCAGATACGCGGATTCTCGGAAAGTGGTGGTGAATTGACAAACATCATCACCAGGGGGCAGGACTTTTTTGACAAAAACTGACGTTGCCCCACCTTGCTAGTGTCATCCCACACAATACTTCTGCTACTTAAATTCAATGAAGGTTATGGACGATATCGCTGACAGTTTACTAACAAGTGTCGCGATATAGACCATTGAGATTTTTTCTATTGTTCATGATAGGACATTACTATTTCAGTTTTTAAGAAAGAACCACCTATTCCACCAAGCCATGCACAACTTTATCTAAAAGAGAAAACTGAAGATTATCATTATGGACGATCATTAAAGAAATTATTCAAGCAACCGTCATTCAATCTATTGACTCTGTGTTATGGTTAGTAAGTCGCCACTACATCCCATCATCATCATCAACAAGAGGGTTTAACATCAGAGATAAAGTGATAAGAAGGACAACAGTTTATTATTGTCATAGTATAGACCTCATGTAAATCGTGCGGTCGTACAGTTTTGACCTTTCTATTTCCGTTCTTAACCTTCTTATATCAAGAGTTCCAAATATAGAGTTGTGTTCCTTAGACCACTCAGACCAATATTCTACAACTATCATCATCAAAATCAAATTCGTCACTATCATAATCAAAATCATCAAGATCTTCATTATTAACAGTGTCATCATCATGTTATCATCTCCATTACTATTATCGTCACTGGCATCATAATCATCATCGTCTTCATCACAATCATCTTCACTAACATCGTGATGATCATCATCATCACTTTCATTATCATCATCTCTATCACCAATAACGTCATCTCTATCATCCTGCACAGTGTTATAGTGCTGTCATCACCAGCAACAGTGCCGTCATTAGAAACAGTGTCAGTGTTACTAACAGCATTATCCTTATAATTATTTGGCAGATGTGTTGATGAACTAACATACCATTGTCTCATTGTTCACTATGAAGATAATCTTTGTTAGATTTTACTTTTGAAATATTAAACTTTTTGTTTCATTGAATTTTATATCTAATGAGATATGATTTGGAAGTACTTTATTCCAGACGGTGTATTCTATGAGTGTTATAATTTCAATCTTTCAGGTATTATCACGGGAGTGGATCATGCTTTATTAACTCTTCTGGATTTTATAATTCTTCATTATTTTCCGGTAAAATGCATTCTTTATCATATTAATCTTGGCCAATAAAAGCGAGAAACATGTCTAAACACTGCATCATCTACATAAATCAACTAGAATCTTAGAAATGACGATGTTGCTGTTGTTATAACCCTGCAGAAAAGAGGCATACCGTCCCGCTACCGACATCGCTATAACAATTATTTATACCTCAATTTCATCAAGGATTGTTTTGGTCCCGAATGTACCCGATCTATTTTTTGGTCAGTCGGGCCGATTGGAAAAAACAATCCTTGGTTAAATGGGGGTATTAGTGGGACTCACGCCCCCTCTTTTGTCAGAATATAATATTTATCATTCTTATTGGAGATAATTTATTGACGATCTAGCTTGTTCTATTTGAACCTAATAATGCCATGAAACTTTTTTATTGTCCTCAGGGTGAGGAGGTCAATGCAGGAAGAATCGGTCTGGTGATTGTACTTGCAGGCATCATACCCTCTATACTCTCTGGAGTCTGGTTGGATAAGACCAAAACATACAAGTAAGATTCTTAAAATAATCTCTAGTTTGTTTTGGGGTTGACTTAAATATTTTTGTTATGATCATTTTTTTGCGAACAGAGCAGGTTGCATGAGTATCAACATGACAACATCGATGTAAATTGCCAAGAATACATAAGTATTTATTTATATGAGTGGTAGGGTGGTTGATTTAAATATAGGCACAGGTTTATACTGTTTGTCCAGACTTCATACACTTATAGAACTACAGCAATATTATCAGTTTTACATAAACAAAACTGACTCAAGTGCTTACTTATATCAAGACTTTGTTTTTGTGTGCTGAGCTACAAATCTTCAATACACAATGTATATATTTTCAATAAATCTACTTGTCTAAATTCGTTTAAAACCATTTACAAGGCTACTATAGTCTCTCTATATGTATAAATACTCGACAATGTCCATAATAATATGTTTACAAGAATCTAGTGGTTGTTTGTTTTTCAGAGCTACATCAGTGCTCCTCTACATCTGTACTGTTATTGGAGTGTTTGTTTTTACGTTTACCCTAGATTATGGGAAGATATGGATTGTATTCATTACTTCATGTATTATAGGGTTCGTTTTCAACTTTATATCTTCTTAAACACCACTGGTGCGTCTTTGTAGTTGATTTTAAATCTTGGTATCCTACCTAGCTTTTCGTCTATGGTTTGCTTGTCGAACTGTCCTATCCGACCAACAGAAGGAAACTGGGGCTTACTAATATCATCTAATAATAAAGTTCATACATCGGAACGAAAATATTATGAAGAATTTCTTTTTTGTTTCATTTTGAGAAAATTGTTTTGATCGTTTTCAGATTTTTTATGTTTTCTTATTTGCCTGTTGGTTATGAAGTTGCTGCGGAGATAACATACCCGGAACCGGAAGCTACCTCAGCTGGAATCTTAACAGCGTGTGCTATGGTGAGTTTGTGTATTTAATTGTGGTTGAGGTTCATCCTTGTGTCGTCTAAGAATTGTGCCTTCTATAGATGTTTACGAACTAAATTTGAACGTGTTCAAAGAACATGGGCAGGAACTCAAATCAGATAGTATTCAATCTGTTGTAATTTCAATATGGTTCATCCTTGGACGAGTATCAATTTCACCAATATCGTATGATGCAGTACAAGAGATGCATATTAATAACACGAGCGGGAACATTCAGATAAGCAGGTTGGTGGAATTATTTCCCCATGAACCCTTCTTCCCCAGACTGATTGATGAATAATGGACCTCAGTGTAGTTTTTAGGTATGGTATTCACCAATATGATAAGAGTTATTATGTCGGTGTACGGTGTTTTTATTGGTAACATTGCGATGGGATCGTTATTGATACTTGGTGCTGTCATCAATAGTAAGTAAATACTTCATATCTGTAATACACTCAACTACAGGGGTAGCGTCAAATGAGCAAATCACTGATTGGCTAATAAAATAAACAATATTGAGTTACTTCCCATCAATACACTACAAATTTTAGACTACAGTTAAATGCACCACAACTATTACTCATCTGGATAGACCTATTCCATAATAGATTCTTTCACACATAATTGGTATCTAACATGGTAACTAAACGGAGGGTCCGAGGGTTTCAGCCAGACAGAGGCATGGTCCTATATAAAGGATGTAGATCATCCATGGTTTGTACCATTAACAAACGAGTCTTGGGGACTATCATTCTATTGAACTGCATTTTGTTTTCAGTGTGTGTGAAAGGAGATTATTTGAGACAACAAGCAGAAATGGCAGTAAGTTCGATACTTAATATTTACATCATCTTGTTCCATGGCATTGTCTAGTATTTGTCTATGTAAAGTTCTCGATATCGTCAGGAGTAATGAACCTCTTATAAATTATTAACCCTTTGATATTACGAAGCCATACAAGCACGACAAAGACATTTCTGATCATCTGTATCGGAATATATTATGAATCAATAACTGAACGTCTAGGGCTCAGAGGGTTAGACACTTTCTCGCAACCCTACATACGCCAGCTCCCATCCCTGCATAGATCGAGATTATACTATCTTTCTACGCCCACATAACATGATTGTGGAGCTTATATTGGCGTCACCCATATCCGTTCGTCCACAATTCTTGTTGGATTTTTTTTTTATCTAAAAAGCACAATAACAAAGGATTTAGACGCAATCTGATGAAATTGATTATTAACACCCAAGGATGGACCCTATTAAAAATTGAAAGGTATTTAAGGATTTACTGCCCTTGTTCTTGGAAACGCGTTCAACAGTTAACTGGTAAACAGAAGGCACAATTCTTGACGGATTTTGACAAACCTTGGTAATATTGTTCATAATCAGTATCACCCAAAAAAGTTTTAAAGAAGGGTATGACTGAAGGTTGAATATTTCATATTGGTGATTGTTACTGTACTACCAATTTTTTTTTCTTTCAAAATCAAATTTGCCATTGGGCGTAAAAAACCTTGCATGACAAGCTATATTTAACCCAAATCCCTCGTGGTAAATGCTGCAGGTAAGAAGGGTTGACAAGAGCGTCTACTTGTTCGGATGGTACAATATACCAGGTCCTTGTGCTACAGACTACAGAAAGTAAATTGAAGTAGATTGTACAGTAGACCTTGCACTCTTTGATGGCCAAATTAGGTACAGATTTAACGGAGCTATCTCCCTTCACAAAGTTAGCTTCACTACCTAGTCTCGTCGTTATTCGCTCCCTTCACATAGTTTTTCTTTATGTTATGTTTGTTCGCTGTATGTTCACTGTTTATTAAAATATTTTACAGAAAATACACATAAAGGAAGTTGCAACAGATGAAACAGACTCAAAACCAGCACCAAAACAACTAGCTAATGGTGAACGACGAAGACTGCTTCATTCATCATAAAACTGAATTATCATCGTTTTAACGATTGTCTAATATTTGTAAAGAAGGGGGCAAACTTCATTACTCTGTACTACTCTTAAGTTTTAAGGCGAGAATACGCATATTAACCACCGAATCCTACCCATCACACCCCTTTCTGTAATGGCTTGAAACGTTGGATAATTGGATAACGGTAGGGAATAAACAACTATTGAATATTATATTTTTATATAAAATACTTTGGTATGTTGTTTAAAGAACACGATTTAATAATAATTATAAAGTCTTTAATTCGATGCTTCTGGATTTAAATTTGACGTCTGCTCAGTTTGTATTTTATCGGGTGCTGGTATATCTATATCTACACCATCTATCTTCTTTATAAACTAAAATTATAAAATAAAAGAAAATAAATACTAGTAGGGATTACTGTAGGTTCGTTGCCATTTCATAGATCAAGGGTGTCGTGAAGGAAAATTCTTCTACCTTTGTTCCTATAAACACAAAATAAGGATTAAACTCGGACACACGTGGAGTGACGGTTTTTACCACGAAAAACTTACTTCAACATGAAACATGGTATTTTACTGGCACAATATGTTTGCACGATCGACATGATATAACATACAATGGAGTCGCTTGTCTCTCTCTCTGTCAATAATTATCTGTCCTATCCAGATGATAACGATTCTCATAAAGTCAAATGTCACCTTGATAGAAAAATCAAAACTATCGGAACAATGAAGTCAATTTCATCTTGAGAGCGAAGAAGTTAATTTCATCGTGAGAGTGAAGAAGTTAATTTCATCGTGAGAGTGAAGTCAATAAAAAAGTGCACTGTCACCTGTCACGATGAAATTGACTTCATTGTAATCGAGACAGTGAAGTCAATAACATCGTGACATTGAGGTAAATTTCATCGTGAAAGTGAGGTCAAAGTCATTATGACAGTGATATCAATAACATCATGACAGTGATATCCATTTAACCGTAATAATAAATCTCATCGTTAAAGCAACATTAAAATCGGCATTATCGTGAACTAAATGCCACCTGTATGAAGTCGTTACTATCGTGATAGCGCTATCCCTGTTATTGCAATCAATATAACCACACTAACAACGTCCAAAGCAAAACAATATGAGCAAGGTGTGTACAGAGGTAATAACTTGATACATTAATAAATAGACTGACCTCTTGACCAGCTTTCTGTCTCCTATAATCTGCTTTTATTACAGCTGAAAAACACAATCCTCCTTATTTTAGAAACAGTAACATTTATTGTTTGTTTTAAAGGATGAAATATATATTCAATACATTAGGCAAGATAATCTGTTAAATGTTCAGTTTATTTCTAGGAAAAAGTAAATCCACGGGGCTCAGTTCGTTCATCCCGACTTTATCCCCTATCTTTCCAAACCCTTACCTGTCATTACTGATCCTATTAACAGAGCAACAGTGATGGCAATATTAGCTCCTAATACACTTATTTTATTCATGATGGCTCGCATTCCAATCGTAAATATTATACCAAAGAACTACAAAAAAATAACGCATTTCAATTAAAATGATACAAAACCATATTAAGCTTAAGCTCGAAATTCCATGAAATCTTCCACTAAGATTTTAATACAATGTGAATATTTATCTCGCATCAGATGCATTTTGGAGACAAATTCCGGATTCTGATTCAAGTATGAATGCATGATGTATTATTAACTTCATCTGTTTTGCTAGATTGTCGAATGATTTAGTTAAGCAATAAGCAATAGAACAACATCAACAATTTATTAACCATTTGAAAGGACAGAGATTCTCAACTGTACTGTCTCAATTTAATGTTACAATGAGTTCTAGAAGGAGGGTGCACAAACAACAAACCTGGGCTGAAGCATTGAGGAGACCGGAAGAGGTACCTTCCGATTCAGGATATGTTAGTTCTGCAGCAAATTCAAACCCAACTGGTAAGTAGCCTGTCATGAAGAAGCTGAAAAAGAACATTCGTTGATTTTTATATAAATTCAAATGAAGTGAAATTTGACGTCCAACTTTTTTGCTGTTTCCGTTGACGAAGATGGAATGATGCTCAAATAAAATCATACAATGGATTAAAAGAATGGTTCAGTTCGGTATTGAATTATGCTTTTCATTTCAAATTATTGCAGAGACATATTTAAAAGTTATTGCAATAAATTATTACGACCTTGAACTGCAATCTTTTGGGCAAGAGTGCCAAAATCTGTAAAAACCTAGTGCCAGTGTTACCAACCAAACTTCAAAAAATGAATAATCTTACTTACCCCAGTGAGCCAGCAGTGATAAACACTATCCATAAATGGCCTAAATTCATGGTGAATGTAAAGGCTATCATTCCCAACATTGACATGATATAAATAACTAAAGATGTCGCTCTGAAATAGAATATTGATTGAGTCTAATACAATTTGTAATACTATAAAACAATCTATCTTAAAGTATGTTCTGAGAAACCTGTTCCATGATTTTATGAAAATGAGTCTTTTGTATCTGAAATATCAGTCACAGATAAAGATAACAGAGACTTGGAAAAAAATGATTCAGATTCATTAAAGACAAAGATACAGTTTGGCTCAAGGACAAGGGATATGAACTTTGAGTTCTCGTATAATTCGATAAGGAAAAAAATAGAGCCTCGATCGTGTTCACAAGTCCTTTGAGGTGCCGACCAGATACAATACCTTAAGCTTTTGGATCAAGCGTATCATTTGGCTTCATACGTTACAATTCCTCGTTTCATGCAAATCCTTAAAGTTACTTACTTGAATGTTCTGGTTTTGTCTAACCAGATACCAGCTGCTATAGATCCTCCTACTCCTGATAATATGATAGTTAATCCAATCTGTCCAGCTTTCAATTCTTCATTCTAAACCATAAAGAACAATATTAGGATACAATAAATAAATAGAAGCCCGATACGTTGAACGGATGTCACCAGGCCATAACAGATTAATGACACCTTAAAGAACATCAATTGTTTTTCTCTTAGTGTACCAACTATCTGTGTTACATGCAGTTATGTTTCTCTAGGGGCAGGTCCGACTATGGCCTTCCAATCTCGAATGTCTTGTCATTTCTCAGGCCCTTTCCAATGATTCACAGAAATGCCAACGGTTATTTGGAAGATTACTTTCACGCTAATTGGTGCTATGCCAACAGGTTTATTCATTTGAGCGTTTTGAATGATTCAGAAGGTAATTTTTGAGAAAATAGAACTCGACAATAAGAAATGATACTTACAGGAAAATAATTTAAAACTACAGCATTTAACAAGGTACCGATAGCATAATAGGAACCTGTGTTGACACCTATATACGAGACGAAAAATAAAAATCACAGGCTTTAGGTATCATTTTTGATATTACAATGTACTTCAATTGTGAAGATTGTAACCCGTCAAATCATTGGTGGTATTTATTATAAGGGTAATAACCATCCAACATCATAAACGCTTTGGAGAATAATATGACTATAGGACGTTTTGTTAATAGGGATGATCAAAGACGCGATATTCTGAAACATTTGATCTCTAGAACATCTTTCCATATATAAACTCCAACTTTTATTATTATTCTGGGACAAGCTTTTAGTTGCGTATCAATTAGTGTCCAATGCCAATGTCATGTGTTCAATGCCAATGTCGTATGTTCAATATCAATGTCGTATGTTCAATATCAATGTCGTGTGTTCAATGCCACTACCGTGAGTTCAATGCCAATGTCGTACGTTCAACACCAATGTCGTCTGTTTGATGCCAATGTCGTCTGTTTGATGCCACCAATGTCGTCTGTTCAATGCCAATGTCGTATGTTCAATATCAATGTCGTGTGTTCAATATCAATGTCGTGTGTTCAATGCCATTACCGTGTGTTCAATGCCATTACCGTGTGTTCAATGCCAATGTCGTATGTTCAATGCCAATGTCGTATGTTCAATGCCAATGCCGCATGTTCAATGAAGAATATATCTGACTTACCATACGAGATCATTAATATTATAAAACTTCGATTATGGAATAATCGTTTTAAAGAGGCACCATAATTTTCATTTTCTGCCGCTTCCACTGCCAGCACCTGAGCATGACTGGGTGGTTTGGGTGGCTTGTTTTTAAAAACTGAAATAAAACAGAATATTCTTAAGACATTATAGACGTTCAAACATATTGGTTACAAAAATACTGTGCTTATAGGCTTTTTTAAAAAGAAGTTATCAGTCATTCGATAGATCCACAGGGGGAGGTGACACTTCCGATGCGAAAAGAGAGGCGTAGAATTGTTACTTTGTGACTACCTGAAAATGATTTATTTCAAACGCTCCTTGATTCTGGACAATGGTAATTCAATGAAATTTCCGAACTTGTTGACCAGATAATATTCTGACTTGACAGTTATTTCAATTCTTCATATCACGATCAATTTTCTGTTTGTATACAACTGCAACACTCGATTATGTTTTCAATTTGTTTTGTTACTTAAGTAATCATTAACATACAAATTGAATTGGATTTTTTCTCATCTATATACATATACAAAGCATTATATATTCCATTATATAGTTCGTTTCAACAGATAAATGAACTGTTGTGTTTCACAATTATTCGAGTTCCATGCTACTGTGAGTTTCGATCAGCGATAAGAATTTCTATGACTAAATTTCATTATAACGTATTCCAAAAATTGTTTATTATAAAATATGAATATATAACATATATAACTATATAAAAAAATTGATTACAGCAGAGGAAACCATACCAGGCTTACCTATTAATATCACTAGGAATAAAACAGTAGTAATTGTTGCAGTACCATACATCATGATAGACATATTATGACCTATTGTCTCCAGACTCTCTGAATTCGGTACTAAAACTGGCGGAAGTAAAAACCCTACTGCTACACCGACCTGAAATAATGAAATAATAAAAATTTAGCCTGCATTTTCAGCATTATAGAGATATCATTGTTTTTCTTTTGTCTTGTTTTCACAGCATGTCTGTAGCTAACGGAAGGGAATCAAGCAATACATCAGCACACAGTCTGAGTCTGTATAGAATATTTAACGTCACGGTCAAGGTATGGCTACGAGTCTGGGTAAGCGTGGTGAAGCCTGTGGTTCGAGATTATTGATTCAATGGAATACAGAACAAAACACTAGTGTCCTCATCATTTCCGACACCGCAGACCGTGTATTCTCTGCTTCTATTTTACTGTATCGATGACATAATACCTGTCATAGTTCTACCATGATTCATGCACAATAACAATGTATGTGTTACGTTATCATTACCATGGGTAATATTGTCATATTTATTGCAAATGGCAGCTTTTGTTTTTAATAATACATCGTGTAACATTTACCTGATTACCAAACACACCCATAGAAGTAGCCGTTGACACTTCATCCGGTCCGAACCACACAGCCGCCAATCTGGCCGGAATACCTAATACCCAAATCTGAGCAATAGCACATATTGTTTGAGCAGTCATTAGCACTGCAAATCTGTCCTGAACTACACTGGCACATTTCATCCACGCACCTACAGCATTCAGTAAGGATCCTAGAATATGGCAAATCCTTAATCCCTTTTTATCTAAGAGCCAAGCTGCTGGGAAGATTAGGGGAATGTACGCTAACATATATATCATGGAGAGCCAGTCTATCGCAGTCTCTTGTTGGAAAGTGTCAGCTGGAAGACTCTCGTTATAAAAACGTAATAACACATTGGCAATAATGTTCAAATGAATCCACTGATATGCGTTACTGAACGAATAAATACAAAACAACGCCAACATAAACCATCGTCTTTTATAAACTTGGGGTCTTTCTTTTATAGGTGGGGAATTTTCCGAGTTCGGTGTACTCGCAGGTGTAGCACGCAGTAAACTGACGTCCCCATTTTCTGTGTCTAGTGTCTTTTTTGATTTTCCCGAACTTTGGCCTGAAATAATAATAAGAACATGAACCATTACAGATGCATGACCCATTAAAAATACAAGTAATTGTTGAAAGTCTGTAAACTATAAATAATAAAATTCGTATAGTTTTGAATTTGTAAATTAGAAATAACTTTAATAACAAATTGTCAAATTTCGCATATTTTGGCCCGATTATTTCTGTAAAACGCCATGTTTTGATAAGAGTTTATTAAGAAAGCTTCTTAATTACTACATCGTTTTTGTCTCAGACCACGTATTTGTCATATGGTTTCTCTAGAACACTACGTCATGGTTAAATCGTTTCCATAAAACACTACGCCATGGTTATATCGCTTATCTGTTAGTTTACGACTATATTATATCAGTATATTTCTCTGTTAGGTTACGACATAGTTTTATGGTTCCTCTATTTTATCGTTTCTCTGTTAGTCTACGACTATATTATATCGTGTCTCTGTTAGGCTACGTCATGCTTATATCGTTTCTCTGTTAGTCTACGCCATTGTTATATCGTTTCTCTGTTAGGCTGCGGCAATATTATATCGTTTCTCTTTTAGGCTACGTCATGGTTATATCGTTTCTCTGTTAGTCTACAACGTGGTTTTATCGTTTCTCTATTATTCTACGTCATGGTTATATCGTTTCTCTATTATTCTACGTCATGGTTATATCCTTTCTCTGATAAGTTACGACATGGTTTTATCGTTTCTCTGTTAGTCTACGTCATGGTTATATAGTTTCTCTATTTTTCTACGTCATGGTTATATCGTTTCTCTATTATTCTACGTTATGGTTATATCCTTTCTCTGATAAGTTTAGACATGGTTATATCGTTTTTCTGTTAGTCTACGCCAGGTTACAACGACATCATTGTTGTGTCGTTTTTCTTATAGGCTACGACGACATCATAGTTTTATCGTTTCTCTTCGTTACGTCATAGTTATATCGCTTGGCTTGAGAAAATACGGCATGGTTGAATTGTTGTTTCTCCAGAACGATACTTCATGGTTATACTATTTCTAAAAAAGGCTCCCACCTTTGATGCTAAATTGTCGTCACAGAGGTTGCGTAAAGTCATGCAGTACTCCTTGCAAGAGTTTCTAAAAGCTCCTTTCTAGCTCTATTAAGTGCGTGTGGGTAATACTGTTTCCTATTAAATAATAACAGGTATAGTTTTTATACGACCAGGGAAATTATGGAGATATTCGGGATGACAGAAGATGAATTAGAATAATTATTTTACATCTAAAATTACACTGTAAAGGTCAGGACCTTACACTTAATACTGATCAAATGTATAAAGAATACTTATCATATTGTCAACTAGCAGATTATTGTCAACTAGCCTCTACCTTACCCCGGTCATATCCCTAGCTGACCTCTAATCCACAGTGAGATGCGACAAATTTACATTAATAGTTCAGAACATAAACTTCATCTGGCAGATAACACATTTTGATAAGACAATTGTACGACGTGAGAGTTCGGATTCTTTTTCACGATGTAGAGATTGGCACAGAGGAATCCCGGAAGATATGTAAATGATAAAACTCGGTAGAGGGTTTTAATATTAATAAGCCCACACTCTAGGAGACTGCTGTATGTGACTTAAAAACCGGACAGAATAAATAATAATGTGAGCTATTTATAATACTATGGAACTTTGGTATTAACCCAGGTAAAAAAAGGAAATTTTACACCATAACCTAAAGAGTTTGGTGAGTCGGTGAAAAAGTGTAGACAATACAAAAAATCCGCCACAACGATGACCTGACGTCACCAGAGGTTTATGTGTCAATAACTCTTGAGCTATTTAAAACATTATTCTGACCTATGATAAGAATGCATTTACAACACACGAACCGACGTTATTGCGATTCTGTTAATTATCCTTCTTACCCATTGCACACGTGATACATCTATTAAGCTGGTGTCCAAAGGATCAATAATAAATATTATTAGTCTGACAACCTGGTCACCGTATTATAATATCACATGTATAAACATCGATTATCAATATAACTGCCTGCAAATTTCATTATACGAAGAAAATGAGATTTTGTTGTAACTTTTGATAAGAAACTTGACAATAAGAGTAGCTTTGTTCAATCAGAAAACCTTTCCACTTGAGGATCTATGATATGAGAGTAATGAAGTCATAAGAAGTATCTTATCTTTGTATTTATAAGATTTGTCATTTTGTTTTTAGCTCTATAAAAAACTAATTAATGAAGACCCCAGTTGAAATCAGCACCTTGAAGTGGCATCAAACCAATTGGTTTCTATTGTGTTGTATTTTATATTCCTATACAGAAGTATTAGTTTCATCAATGCAGGGTCAATCATAGCGTATCTGTAGACAACATATATTTAATTTATTTATTTTTTTTATTTATTTATTTAATTGTTTCAGCCAGAATGCCTCATTTGTCTATAATCATGTAGTCTGCAATGGCTCCCTATTAATCATTATTAATAAGGTTGGGGTGACTATTGATTATGTATAAATATATATATATATATATATATATATATGTACTATGTTTACTAGTGAGTATATATTTATAGTGAATTATTAATATACAATAGGTACAGACAAATGAATTGGATTATTACCAACTGCTTTTGAACTCTCTTCTCTAATTGCTCTACATTTCTTTCATATCACTCGTTACAGTTGCTGACTTCAGATCAATACAATGCTGAATTTTTTTCCTATTCAATTATAATTTCATGATTCACTTGTCAGTGGCTTTTATACAGCTAATTTATTTTTCTTTCTATTACTCCTCTCGAGAGCCTTGATGGATGGCATCACCCCTTCTGTCTTTCCCTGAAATCTTTTTCATTTCGTGCTTTATTACCCCCAAAATATTCGAAAATTACCCCGTTGGGCGAAATAACCCCAAGTCGGAAACCACTTATACACAGGTATTAGAGTGACAAATTATGCCACTATAACATTATTTCTATATATGATAGTTATATATATGATATGTATTGAGTACAATATTGTAGCGAGGTATTCTTTCTAGAATGGATCCCCATCATCTTTTTTACCTTCCAACGAATGGCCGACATGACATTAATTTTCAAGGAATATGCAATTAATTTCTATGATAAAATTATAATAAAATATATTATGTGAAATGAGCATATTTGACATAATTTCTGTCTACGTGAAAGAAAACATGTCAGTTAGTTCATTAGAACAGATATGTTAAAAATACTCTCCCAGTTAAAAATAAAATATTCAGATTCGTCTGTTCATTAGATCGTGCTTGTCATGTCAAAGAATTTGCATGACTCAGCAAAGCACGTAAATTTAGATGCCACACGTATGAAACGTTTTTATCGGTTCGGATCGTTGAAGATCCGGTGATGATATTTCGATATTCTGTCTAAAATTAATACCTTTCCTCCTAGTTTAATTGAATAGAACTCTGCTTATTCTGTCGACATGCGTTCTCGATACTGTGTCAGTCAGCTTTTGAATATATAAAAGACTCTAGGCGTTTACGTGAAGATTGCGAACTCACATTTAGACAATAAATTAAGACGATAAAGTATCTCTAATTTATAAAGATAACGAAATAATTTGAAAATAAACAAAATGTGTTTAGACAAGATAAGAAATCCTTAACTCTAAAAACTACAAATACAGAGATAATGTGTTCTGTCGTACATGATGCATGTAGAAAATCGATAGTATTACGTCAATACAGACAAAGCCTTCTTATGTTAACCTGATGATCGTAGTTAACATAATAATGAGAAATAATAACACAGTGGCTGTTTTCATTATTACCTAGAGAAATAACTAAAACAACAAAACTTTATTACCAATATTCCAGAATATGTAGACTGACAAATCTTTTTTTTTTTTAGTTCCTCGGACATGCTATATCGATGTGATTTGGCTACCTACTAACCGTGATGAAATTTCGTCGGTCTGAGGAGCTGGTAGGGCCAGACTATTGTGTTTGTTAACAAAATGAGAGTAAACTAAACGAATATCGAAAGAGTTTTGATCAAAGTTATATATTATCGCATGTGGCTCTGATTAAATGTTTGTGTTCCAGATTTTCAATGTCACATTAACAAAAGATAACAAAGCGTTGCGAATCATTCCGTGTTTTCTTGCAGAACAACTTAAGTCATATTAATAGGTCAATGCAGAAATCTATTGAAACGTGTTACGAAGAAGCAGATATCTGAATACAGGGTAGGTGTCCCTGCCTCCTGCTTTCTATTCACTTATATAAAAATAAATATACCAAAGTCATATTATCAGCTACCTTGACACTCTAAAATGGATGCCAGTTGAAAAAGCAAGGTGCAGAGCGCCACCTCGTGTTCCAGACCGAAGAGTGACTACAGCCAATACAATATACTTATCATAGTGAAGTAAAATTTAAGTTCGACACTTCGACTTTTGCATTGGTTTCACTTTATAAGAAACAGAAAATAAACTAATGCTAGGGATTTAAATTTCATCTCAACTGATAATAAATCTCAATATCTTGATGACATGTCTGGAGTTAGAATTGCATTCCGATAACACAATGTCCCGAAGAATCGATTGCGTGGGAGAGTTTAACTTGGAAATACCTCTTTCATAAAATAAGTTCCTCTTTAAAGTGCCCGTTTAATAACAGGAGAACGAACGAACCTCTCATCTATCTGTTTCGTGTATGCTTAGTTGAATCACAAAAAAAGGTCCACTCCATTTTAATACATGTAGATAATTAGATATGACTTTAGCCTTTGGTCCAAAGGCTTTTCGTCTACTGATGAATAGTTTCCAGATACACCTTGCATTAGATTGTTTAAGGCCTCAGGGACACAACTGTCCGCTAATGTACAGTTTTCATCCAAGT